AAAGTTAGGAAGTTGGGATTTCCTATGGGTTTTATATTTGGCCAATCAATCTGACCTACCAAATTTCATAAGGATCGGCCGACTATATCCTATAGCTGCCATATAACTGATAGATCGGAAATGCAATAACTTTGGTGTTTGTAAAGCTAGAAAGTTGGGATTTTCTATGGGCTTTATTTTTGGCCAATCAATCCGACCTACCAAATTTCATAAGGATCGGCCGACTATATCTTATAGCTGCCATATAACTGAACGATTGGAAATGCTATAACTTTGGTGTTTTTAAAGTTAGGAAGTTGGGACTTTTTATGAGTATTAAGAATGCATCATATGAATAATTTTGGAGAATATAATTTACAGAATATTCTGCAAGGGTATATCAACTTCGGCTCCGCCCGAAGTTAGCTTTCCTTTCTTGTTTTTTGCTGTTTCTGCCGATCGTGGTCGGACCGCGTGACCAAAGATAACGACGGAGCTAGCCTCGTTTGTCGGATCCAAGGATAATTTTTTTTTACACACCCACACACAGAATTTTCCTCCATATATCGATATTTTACAAAATATGTTTTCCCTCTACGAAACCGCGTGGTGGCCCAGGATTACGACGGAGTCTTGCACTCGCATGTCGGATCCGAAGCTATTGCCGGTCCCGGAGCGCGTAGCGGCCGTGGATTACGACGGAGCTAAGCTCGTTTGTCGGGTCCCGAAGCACACGAAAAAAAAATTTCCCTGAGGAAACGGGAAAGAAAATATAAATATGTGTGGTTGCGCAAAACCACACATACGTAATTTTTTGTTCCTCCTCTCTCGCTTCCCATGTTGTATAAGAGGAGCACACCGGGCTACCGAAAGGCAGTCAAGCTCCGGCCATCAAGCGGGGAACATCGTCGCGAACAACGATCACCAGTGAAAACCCTAGCCCAAATCCTGGCACCATGCACAGCAAGGACCCCCAGGTCCTATAAATATTTGGTACCCTCGCCCCGAATTATTTTTTCTGCGTACGCAATGAAAGGACCCCCGAGTCCTGTAAACATTCGGCATCCTAGCCCGAATCCCAGCACCGTGCACAGCAAGGACCCCCGAGTCCTATAAATATTCGGTACCCTCGCCCCGAATTATTTTTCCGCGCACCACTAAGCGGTACGATCTTTTTAAATTTTTTTCCCCCCTCCGCTCTCTGTCACTCGGAAACCATGGGTGTAAGGTGGATATCCTATCGCCGCAAAGAGGAACTACAACTCCTCTTAGCCGAGTTCGGCGCAGGCGGCGAGCGACTTTCCTCACCCGGGAGGACCTCGAGCCGGAACTTCAGGACCGAGCCAAGGAGTTGGCTAGTACATTCCCAGAAGCAGCCACACCCAGGGACAAGTCCCTGAGCCCTCTGGGAGAACAAGAACCCCGGGAACAGAAGCAAAGCACACCGGGTGTAGACACCGGGAGCACCTCCCTAAGACTGGAAGTACCGCCAGGCAAGCGACCGACAATGAACACAAACGCGGACCCTCCCGCACGCGTGGAAATATCCTCCGCCACCTTGGCGGAAAAACTGCAAAGCAGGGGCATTTTATTCGACGGACAGACCGACCCGCTCACATTTGTCCAACGCCTGGAGGTACAAGCCGACGGATACCGACTCAAGACCGCACGACTCCCCAGGGTAATCTCCGGATTGCTTAGGGAAGAGCGGAAAGTTGGTAAATCTTCAGGAAAGAATTTCTTGAATTTTTCCTCCCACCACAATATTTCCAACGATTGGAAGACACGTTCCGGACGAGATACCAGCAACCGGGCGAGAGCTGCAAGGAATACGTAGTTGAGCTCCGACTCCTGTTGCAGCGGGCAAAGTTTACTCCGGCGCAGGAACTGGAGCGACTCTACCAGAACCTTCGACCGGAATACCAGTTATTTGTGAGGCGGCAAGACTTCGAGGATCTGTCCTCGCCCATCCGGGGAACCAGCGAGGACCACACACCAAGGACCCCAGAACTAACCCCACCTTTACGGTTTGAAGGGGGGCGCATCGTGGCGACGGTCAGCATCGAGGGAAATACGTTTCACGCCACCCTGGACACCGGGGCGTCCAGGAGCTTTATCAGCGCGAAAATAGCCGACGACATTGGGAGTACCCATAACCGCCGGGATGTACGAACAAGGATTGCCCTGGCAGATGGATCCACCACCGACGTCACCCACGCCCTGACCACCACCGTAACCCTAGGACGGTATACAGCTAAGACCACACTGCTAGTGCTACCGTCCATCTTGGACGAGATCATTCTCGGAATCGACTTCCTCTGCGGGAGGAGAGACAATGCCCAGCCTGTCAGCAATTTAAGGTGAGTCAACGCAAACAAGCGGGGAAGATGCTAACCAGGAAATCAGAGGGACCATTCTCAACCCTGTGCGCGGATTTCGTAGGGCCTCCGTCCAGGTCCCGCAAAGGACACAAGATGTTACTGGTGTTTTTGGATCATTTCACCAAATGGGTCGAATTAATACCCCTACGCCGAGCTACCGCCACCAGTCTGGAATTAGCCTTCCGGGAGCGAATCCTGGCTAGGTTCGGCGCCCCAAAAACTTTTATCTGCGACAATGGGACCCAGTTTACCAGTAGGGTCTTCAAAGCATTCTGCAAAAAAGCAGGAATAGAAGTGCAGCATATTGCTCCATACTCCCCCCAACAGAACCCTACAGAGCGAGCCAACCGCACCATCAAAACGATGATCGCGCAGAACGCCACGGAGGACCAACGAACATGGGATCACCTGTTGCCGGAAATCACCCTGGCCATCAACACGAGTGTCTCCGACAGCACCGGATTCAGCCCAGCGTACCTAGTACAGGGTCGTGAGCCCCGATTACCCGGAAGCTGGTTCAACGAAGTTACACCAGGGGCCAGCGAAGCGCCCAGAGACCCCCAGAGACCCCCAGAGTAAGGCAGAGCATCTCAAGAACATTTTTCAAACAGCCAAGGAAAACATGGAGAGAGCAGCCCAGGAACAAAGTCGCTATTACAACTTGCGCCGACTGGAATGGAGACCAGGAACAAAGTCGCTATTACAACTTGCGCCGACGGGAATGGAGACCGACCATTGGGATGTGAGTTTGGGTCCGAACTCACCACCTGTCCAACGCCGCGGAGGCGTTCAATGCAAAACTAGCTCAAAAATTCGAAGGTCCTTATAAGATCATAAAATTTCTGTCACCAAACATCGCCAGAGTTCAACTTCGAGGGACACGCAAGCGTCGCAATGCAAATCTAGCCGATTTAAAACCCTTTCATGGGGACCAGACCGTCGAGGCCCCAGAAGAAGACGCCGAAGGGATCCACGAATCCACTCTAGAATCTCACCAAACCCGAGACACCTGTGCGCCACTGACGGGTGATCAAGGAAGGTAAAGGGGCGAACCTACCGGATTTCGATTACTAATAATCGGTTCGTCAACATCTCGCTCCAGCACCACGAAGGAAGGGGGGGTGTGAGGAACCGTAAGACGGCCCTCACAATTTGTATATTTAGTATATTTTGTAGACATGTAGGATTTTTGTAGCCATGTAGGAATATTTTGTAGCTATAGCCTTGTAGATATAGCCTTGTAGCCACGTAAAAATATTTTTAGTTTAGCTTTTTCATAGCCAACGCACCCAACACCGCCAAACCATCGAACCAGCAACACACACAGGCACACAAGCTTTTCGTCGCACGATCGAGCAAGGGGAAATAATTTCGCACGATCGAACCAAATTGCAACCAACCCGACCGATGTTTTCGAGCAAGGGGAAATATTTTCGCACTATCGAACCAAATTGCAACCATCCCGACCGATGTTTTCGAGCAAGGGGAAATAATTTTGCCTGAAAAATGCCGAAGCGCCAGCGCAGCGGCAGCGACGCCGACGCAATGCAAAATATGGGGTGCGTGCGCCGATATCAAAGAGAGGCAAAAGCAATTACTCTTGAGGCTTCGCGCTTGCCAGGTTTAAATCGTGAAAAAACCCGGGAAACCGCCCCGCCGTGAAAATTCGACTAGTGCGTGAAAAACGTGTAATACGATGTCAACCGACAGTGGCGAAGTTGATGGAGTGTACGACCCTGTTCCCGCTGCGGAGGCATGGGAAATCAACTGGCTGGACGGAAACGTAAGCGTCCGCTATATATTTTCTCGAGATATTTTTTTTGAAACGACTAGACTGGAGTGGCGTGGCAAGGATACTTTGTACGCCCCTCGAACAAACCTAAGCAAAGAACAATAAAGGAACAAAAGTGTTAGAAAACCAAAAATCTATTCGTCTATGCCGTGTTTTGTGTGTAAGTGATCGTAGGATCATGGTTGGACCGCTTGGTGGCCAAGGATTACGACGGAGTCTTGCACTCGCTTGTCGGATCCGAAGCTATTGCCGGTCCCGGAGCGCGTAGTGGCCGTGGATTACGACGGAGCTAGGCTCCTTTGTCGGGTCCAGGGTCAGTGCGGGTTCCGGAGCGTACGGCTGAGAGAGATTTCGACGGAGTCTTGTACTCGATTGTCGGATCTAAATCCGCTGCAGGTTTCGGTCCATGGTCGGCATCTCTGGGTGACAGTGCCCCTTCCTTTTCTTTTTTTTGCTGTTTCTGCCGATCGTGGTCGGATCACGTGGTGGCCAAAGATTACGACGGAGCTAGCCTCGTTTGTCGGATCCAAGGATCATTGCGGGTTCCGGCCACGGAGTCTGAATAGGGCCATTTTTATCACGCCCCTCTCTTAAGTCCTTGAACTTAAATAAATTATTGTAAGTGACCCTGGGAGCTTTGAGCACTATATCCCAGCCCAAGAACTTCCTTACAATTTTTTTTTAACAACGTGTATAATAAATCAAAATTTAATAGTGGTTACAATTTTATTTTTTCATTCTGCATAGTAAATTTTGATAAATTTTAGTTGGATCTATAAATTTTACATCTGTGTTATAAACAAATTTTTACAACTGGTCATTACTTAAAAATTAATCTTGTTTTTCAGGAAAGTCAACCAGATTTTATTAAAGCCATTTCCAAAGGATCGCTTGAGAAAAATCTTCTACAAATTGTCATTATTTGGCGTCGAGATGCCAAACTTATAAAGTATGAATGGGTCTATGGATTAAATAAGAATACTAATGTTGTACATGAAAGTCTCATCAATTCAACAAAAAACGAAATTTTGAACACCGTGAAACGGCTTTTAAAATCTTCAGAAGCTTTAAATTATGAAGCCCTTGTGCAGGTATTATATTTTCGATATTTTAAAGTCTGAATATAAATAAATTACAAAATTTCAGAAATTATTTAATGAGCACTCTCAAGGTATTTTAACAAGAGGAGTTTCCCGATTTTTGTATTTAGTGGATTATCTATCCGACAATATTGAAGATGAGCACCTTCTTGCAGCATTTTCACTTTTGGGAACAATTGGATTTATGTTTGCTGTTGGATATATATTAATGTACTTCGTAAGGGCTGAAGAGGAAAATCTTAAGGCACAAGGTCATCTTATTGAAAACCAAGGTAGGTACCCGAGTCACAAGTATTAGGTTGGTTGGTAATGACTTACCGGTTTTACATTCAAATTTCGCGCTTCGCTTGTGAAGTCAAATATAATCGTATCTGGCAATGCTGTATATCGTTTGAAAGGTATTGGCATCACCTTTAAAATGACATATAGTTATGTTTTGTTTACATGAGCTTCCACGTTCAAAAATTACAATCGATTGAAATGGAGTTCACAAACGCAGAAATTCGGGCAATTTTGAAATTTTATTTCGCACAGGGAAAAACTGCTGCGGAATCTCGCAGACAGATTATTGCTGTCTTAGGAGATAACAAACTTTCGATTCAAACCGCCGAACAGTGGTTTAGACGATTCCAAAGTGGCAAAGCCAGGACTGACGGCTCAGAAGGTGTTTCTGAGTGTATGGTGGGATATCAAAGTGAAGTGTGTGGCCAAACCACCAATTCTGACCTCTCTTGTGAACAACTGGAGCGATTGAAGATTGCACTTGAAAAGAAGCGGCCAGCCATGGTGAATCGTAAGGGCGTTGTGTTCCATCATGACAACGCCAGGCATCCACCTTATAGTCCGGACATTGCCCCATGCGATTACCATCTGTTTTTGGCCATGCAAAATTTTTTCGATGGACAAAAATTGAGTTCAAGGGAGGATTGTAAAAATCGAATCGCCGAGTTTTTTGCCAGTAGGGACAAGGACTTCTTTAGGAGAGGCATATACAAGTTAGCATCAAAATGGCAGAAAATCATCGAAGACAACGGTACATATAGCACTTAACTCGGACAATGCTGACTATGTTAAAATCGTCGTCAAAAATCAATAAAGAAACCGGTATGTCATTACCAAACAACCTAATATTTATTGTTTATACCCTTGCAGAAGATAAAAATTTGCAACGCAGTGATGGGCACATTACCGATCCTAATAATTATATACACTGACGAGCAAAACTGTAACACGAGTTTAATACTCTAACTTCAAAGGTCTATATCTTCTGTTATAATTTATGCACTCTAACGTGCTTGTCGGCTTGCCGCTCATTACTTCGTGACTGGATTGTGGGATCTCTAATTCATTTAAAAATGCAAAATATTCCAAAATTGTTTGGATTTCAAGGTTATGTGGTCGGAAGAAACAAAAATTAATCGATTTGAGTCAGATGGTCGCTCCTCGTATTGGACTAGAGATCCTTTCAGTAGAAAGACCCGTATTATGGATTACTTCTGGAAGATTTTTATACCCGTTACCCGTAGAGTAAAAGGGTATATTGCATTCGTGCAAAAGTATGTAACAGGTAGAAGGAAGCGTTTCCGACCCTATAAAGTATATCTATTCTTGTTCAGGATCACTAGCCGAGTCGATCTAGTCTATCCGTCTGTCTGTCCGTCTGTCCGTATGAACGCTAAGATTTTGGAAACTATAAAAGCTAGAAGATTGGCATTTTGCATGTAGATTTTAGGAGTTCCTACGCAGCGCAAGTTTGTTTCAAAACGGTGCCACGCCCCCTCTGACGCCCTTTCGATTGGCCTAATAAAAGTTTGCCACGCCCACTCTAATGCCCAAAAACCCATTAAACGCTTAAGCCTGGCTAGCGCCTACATTTCCGCCTTTCATGGCCCGTGGTACCAAAAATTTGTTATAATATATATATACTTAAATTAAACAAAATTTTTTTTCTATAAAAAAAAAGGCAAAAACCCCAAAAAAAACTAATTAGTAAGGTCAAATAAGTATTAGTAGTATTAGTAGTAAGTACATAAGTATGCCTTCCGTATGTTACGGATAAACAAAATTTTGGGGAACATGGAGATTCCAAACTTGAATAAAGTTTGGCAACTCAAGTCGACTCCTAGGTCCCAAAATTTTATTTTGGTTTGAAAGACCCCGATGCGTTGATTTGCAACGGGGTCTTTCAAACCAAAATACAATTTTGGGACCTCCACGTGGTGTTTCCTGGGTACCGATTTTAGGGGAGCTAATTCGAGCGGCGAAAAACATACAAGAAGGCATATTTATATTAAGTTGTTTAGCTGAGTAACGGGTATCTAATAGTCGAGGCACTCGACTATAGCGTTTTCTCTTGTTTTGTATTATATTGTTCCTTTCGCATTATTCCATCGTTAATACCAAGGGACCAACTACATTTTTATAGATTCACCCCCAGACCATCATTGAGCCGGCACCGTGCTTGGATTGTGCGATCTCTAATCCAATACCAGGAACCCAATTTTTGTAGATTATATATGTTGGCTCCAGTATCTACCAGTAATGATAATTTTATTCTTTTGGTTCTGTATTTTAATTATGCTGCTGAGACTAATATTTATATAAAAAACTTGTTTTTCAAAAACATGTATTATTATGGTACTGTTGGACGCCTCAGTTGAAGTAACGAACTCTATGATTACCACGACCATGATTTCCATCCGGCAGCCATGTCAAATATCGGATGAGGTCCAGGCTAAATAATTATGCGGAGTTCGTTAAGTATTAAAAGGAGGATATTCTTTTCAGTCAGATATTTAGTATTACTAAGCATGAGTGAGAATACACACATGCCAGAAAAAATATGCGTACAAACATATCTCGAAACTTTAAATTAAAAAAAAACGTGTTGAAAAAAAATGTTATTTTAACAGATAGAATTGATGTAACTTTTATTGCTAAGTTTTAAATATTAAGTATTAAAAGCTTTTAAATTGCGGTTTTGGCATTGATAACTGTAAATCAAAGTTTTTTTTACTTGTTTGTAATCAAGTCTGACATATTAATGTAACCAGACGTTATTTTTATGATGAGAAAGAAAACAAAAGAAATTGACCATGATTTGAGGATAGTCATGGTAAAACGTGAAGAAGGGAAAACTTTTCGGGAAATTGGTGGGATAGTTTGCACAGCACACTTCTCTGGGCAAAGAGTCCTTGAAAGTTTCAATTAATCGGGTTCCTGTGAGTCAAAACCCCGTTCTGGTAGACCACCAAAGCTCAATGAGCGCGAGAAGGGAAGCGTTTTAAAGACAATTAAAATAAATCCAAGGACAACAACCTCCCAAATTGCAAAGGATATTAAGAAACCACTCATATCACAAGTCAACTAAATCAAACGAATGAAATTCTCCAGAAAATTGAATAATAAGCCCCAGGAGTTTTGCATATTCGGCATAAAGGGCCGTAAGCTTGTGTGGCGAAAGAATGGTACAGCCCTCGACAAACAAAACCTTGCCACAACCGTTAAGCACAGTGGTGGTGACTTTATGGCTTGGGGTTGTATGGCGGCCAGTAGAATTGAAAATCTTGTTTTCATTGAATCCACAATGGATCACAAGATGTATATTGACATCCTAAAAAAAAATTCTAACATCCCACGAAACTGGGACTGAAGGATGACTTTTGGTTCCAACAGGACAACGAACCAAGGCATTGAGCCATGAATACAAAGCTCTATAATGTCAAAAACCAGTTAAATTCGCCACCGTAGTTCCCAGATATCAATCCCATTGAGCATTTATGGGACCTTCCATTACATCAAGGGATATGCAAAAAAAAGTGATGGTCCAGGAATAAAATATTGCTGGGAAATTGGTTCAGTTAATACCTAATCGCTTTTGCTGAAGTCCTAAAATGAAATGTGCATACGCCCTTCTTATATAACTAAAATCTTTTTGCCAAAAATATGTTGATTTCTTATGATTTTTGTGTTTGTACGCATACTTTTTCTGATCCGAAATCAGTCCATTTTGTAAATGTTTGTTAATATTAGGAAAAGTATAAGTGCTCGCAGCAGAACGCCTAAATTTTATTGTTTATTATCAATTTCTAAATGTAACGTAGTTTGCTAACAGCATCTGCGTTGCGCTAACAGCACCATGTTAATTTACGAATGTAAAACATAAAAAACAAACACTGTGCAACACCTACTATTTTCTTCTCGTTCTTGCCTAAAACTTAAAAGTACGCGATCTTAAAACGAAAGCTAGGCCTTTTTTATTTTAAATTAATAGAAACGGCCGAAGTGGGATGCAAAACAGCATCTCCTCAAAACATTGGTGACCCCGACGTGATACTATCTGGGTTTTAGTGCAAATCGCAACTTCAGTTCTAACCTTTTCCTGTCTGGCCAAACGCCGTCAGGCACATTCCTCACACACACACACACATACAATCGTCTCCAGAAAACGGTAATCGCGTTTTCCTGTGCCCAAATTTGACTTTCGCAATCGTCAAGGGTAAATTTCTTGCATCCGTTAGTCGTGCTTCAGTGAACAACATCTAAGATGGCCAAAGTTGCTGACAACTTGCCACCGGCAGACAGTCAAGATAAAGAATCGGCTGATATTGACTTCTACAAGGCCAAGTGCGCATCCCTTCAGCGCCAACTAAAGGCAATGGGCGACCATTTCAGCATCGGCGACTTAAGTACCTACGATGAAGCCGACTTATTAGTTCGTATAGACACAGTTAACAAAATGAAGGACGACTTCGAAATGTGGCAAGATAAAGTGGAAAGGGTGGACCTAATCGAGCTCTCCTCAAATGCACGCTCCGAGTTCGCAATTTCCTATTGAAAAGCAAAGTCTTCGCTGACTCGCCACATGGATGCCTTTATGAAGTCACACATTGCAGATGCTAACTCAACAGCATTTCCTGCCTACCAGGAGAATATCAATTTTCCCTCCCAACTAAACAAGCGCAAGTCTCGGCTACCAGAATTACACTTGCCCAGGTTCAGCGGCAGCTACGAGGATTGGCCAGATTTCATTGCCATGTACAACAGTGTCGTAGGGAACAACGACGATCTAGTCTATCCGTCTGTCTGTCCGTCTGTCCGTATGAACGCTGAGATTTTGGAAACTATAAAAGCTAGAAGATTGGCATTTTGCATGTAGATTTTAGGAGTTCCTACGCAGCGCAAGTTTGTTTCAAAACGGTGCCACGCCCCCTCTGACGCCCACAAGCCACAAGCTGTGGCCACAGTTTTGATGCTATTATGAAAATTTTAA